AGAGCGGTGCCAGCAGGTGCAGTCTATGATGTATGACTTAATGGAGTGGCGGTCACAGCTTTTGTCTGGAACTTTGCCAAAAGATGAACTCAAAGAACTTAAACAGAAAGTCACTTCCAAAATTGACTATGGTAACAAGTAAGTGGCCTACATTGCTTCTGGAAAACATGATTTATTTTAAAGCACCCAGCTAGAACAGAGATAATGATAGTTTTCCTGTTTGCAGTTTTGTAACTCATTAATATGAGATGTAGACATATTGAATCATCCATGTTGTTCCTGTGATAATAGTAGATACAATGTTGAGGCTTCTCACAGCAAATTGCTTTTTCAAAATATGAGTGTATTTGTTAATTATAGATATATGAGCTTGTCAGTTGTAAAGATTTGAGGTCAGATAACTGGCCTTTATATACATATAAAACCAGTGTACTCAGGACCCAAAACTTGTCCATTCTTCAGAAACACAGCCTACCTCTAGTAGTGTTATGCTACCACTTCAAAAGTGGTGCTCAGAAACCTTAGTGTAGTGGATGGATAGCAAAAGTCTGAAAAGTCTGAGGTGTACAGAACCGTTGCTAAAGGCACCACACTACCACCAGGTTACTAGGGAATTTCCAGGCAGAGCTCTGGTTCTAGTAATGAAAGTGAAAGCACTAGGGGTAGAATAGTTGACAAAATGTATGCTTCTTACTAATGAAAAGTCACTACAACACAACATATTTTTGGCAAAAATGGGGTTACATGGGGTTGAGTGGTGTTTCACCACCTGATAGAGGAAAGAGAGCTTGCTAAACAAATCTTCATAGTATTGGTTTTATAGGCATTGGAATCTGCTTATAAACTGTATTTAGCAATTGCAAGCGACTGTGGCTATTGTGGCCTGAAGGTCTATATGCTGCTGAGTCTTCAGTTACCTGTGGCGAAACATAAACAATGACCACAAGATGTTACGAAACTCTTAACTTGTTCACTGTGATTTAGATGCACAGATTTCTGATAAATTATATTCTTACAGAACACACTATGTAAATACATGTATCCTGCTACACTACATGGAGCTGAATGGTCACTCCAAGACAGATTTTACTTGGAAATGTTCCAGCCAAAGAAGCCTAGGTCTGATTAAGACAACACTAACATTTCTTTGCTTTCATTCTTTTGTTTTCACACTCTTCTATGTTTTCCAAATTATGAGACAGTAAGATTCTTCCCTTAGAGGAGTAAGGGTGGAGGGGATGTTTAAAATGCTTTGGGATTGTATAGAGGAAAAGTGCAAGTTAGATGGTATTTGTAAGTGCTCGAAAGCATCAGATTGAGTTGTGATGTGTGAAGGAAACTTGCCAAACTGTGGAGAAGGAATCAAGGTGAATGACAATGGAGGCTGAGTGGGTCATTGTGGGAGAGGAGATTGAACACCAAATCAAGAGAGGTTGTGAATAATCATGCAAGGTGATGAAGATGGCTCGCAGTCTGATACAGACTGGTTCAAACAACGTTAGCAGTGCCATAAGGGCAGCCAGTACGTTTTAGGAATTGCAGAAAGTACAGTCCAGCACAAAGTAGACCAGTTTTAGAGGGGGATGGAGGGCTGAGACCCTGGATAAGCAAGAAAGGCTATCTCTTGACTGATGTGGCACTAAGACACCATGGACAAGCATATGTAGAATGTATGGAGGTAAGACTTGAGTTTTTAACATGGAGAAAAAAAAGAGTGGAAGGAAAAAAGGAATGATTTGTATGAGAGCAGAGGAGAAAAGAGCGTGGTAGTTAAGTAATGGGACTGGCAGGGTAAGAGAGCAACGAATAGCACAAGGTAACAGGGAAAAATCTGCGCATCTTGATTACAAAGGTTATAAATAAAAAACAAAAGAGATGAAGACTACTTGAACTCATTGAACATGGTGTATCTATTTTATGTGACAGGCATTTAAATGCTTTGGTGACATTACTATGAATTCCTAAAATGGATAAATACTGTACAACAGCTTTAAAGGAAAATCGTGGGGTTTAGTGGAATTTTTCTTCAATGAAAAACTGTTGTATGTAATAAACTTACTTCATTGCTTTAAAACTTGAAGGAGCTCCTTGTGTGTAACATTTATAAGCTTTATTTTTATAGAAGGAATTAACCCTGGCATTATGCCCTTTCTATTTTCACAGAATACTTGAGCTAGATCTAATAGTTAGAGATGAAGATGGAAATATCTTGGATCCAGATAAAACCAGTGTCATCAGCCTATTTCATGCACATGAAGAAGCGACTAATAAAATCACTGAGCGAATTAAGGAGGAAATGGTAGGAATGACTGGGCAAGCTTAATGCATCCTTTGCTAAAATCAAAATGAAAAACCAGGACAAGGGTTGAAGGATGTAACTGTTTACAATAAAAGCTGGTGGAAACTTTTGCCTCTGACTTAATTAAGAGTAGATTCACATTCATGTGTTTATAAATATGGCTAAGCCTCAAATTGAGCTAGTGGTATTTGTGCACTGGATTTGGGCTGTGGGCTAGGCTGAAAACTGGTTCTAAATCCATTCTCGGATTCTTAGATGGAAGTAAGTCTCCTCGTTCCATCTGTGGACTACTCAGTAGGCTGATTTGCGTACTGAATAGTTACATGCTTGAAGTTCAGGCTGCAAGCTATGATTAACCAAAGCTCTTTTTTAGAAGATCTTGTGACAGCACTAGTTGTTTGCTATATGTTGCTGCTTGTCAGTCTGATCGAGTTGAAGAATTTAAGCTCACTAAAGAGGAACTTGGGTGAACTCAGCATAATCTTGTGGACATTGGAAGTTGGCATGCCTAAGCAAAGCTGATGAGTGCATAAATTTCAGTTTTTAAAATGCAAAGCAGGAGACTACACTTCCTTGACCTTTTTGTATATTAAATCTGTTTGGGGATTTGTAAGCTATGTGAGTTCTTTTCTTTACTCATGGGAAAGTAAACTGTAATAAACCAAGTAAAACACTTGACAAAAAAAAGTTGGACTGTCATGACACTTCAATAATGCCCGTGACAAATCACTGGAAAACACCTAATGAGTTGTTCTCATTGCTGTCACTAAATAAATCTTGCTTCTCTGACATCAAAATGTAATTAACTGACAGTATAAGGAAAACTTAACTTGGTAGTCTGCAACAGACTATGTTTGCTTGTTTTAAAAATAGAACCAAACAATGGATAAAAAGAGCTTTAGGACATCGAATGTTAAGTAACTGTTTCTTCGTGGTTAAAATGGGATGTAGGTAGAATTTAGGAACCTGGTTTTGAGTCAGTGAACCTGCTCAGCTGTGTCATGATCTCGGCACACGTTATTTGTCTCCTCTTCGAAGAGGTATGTTTTGTTTTGCTAGTGCTCCTAGCACACTGAAACCTCATTACGATGTGGATAGTAGGCCTTCTGCTATATCCTACTATGTTCAAAACTCATCTCTTTCAGATTTGTAGGCTTGCCTCTGTAGTGACAGCTTGATACTCGTTCTTCTCTTTAAAAGTGGTGATAATGTTTCACCCTGTAAATAACTGCCTAGTGGCTGAAGAAGTGGCTTAAGACATGGAAGTCATAGAATCATAGAATATCTCAAGTTGGAAGGGGCCCATAAGGATCATCAAGTCCAACTCCCTGTTCTCTCTCCTAAAGGGTTTTAAGTTCTTAGAGCATAGCAAAAACATTGTCAAATCTTTTAGGCACAGTCTTCTACCAAAATTTTAGAAAAGGACTTCAGAATAGTTCCATAGAAAGCAGCCTGATTTTCATGGGAGGCAAGGTTTAGAATACATTCCTATACAGGAGGGAAACTTAACCTGGCTCTTTTCTCCTGAATGATGGTAAATGTAAGATTTTTAAAGGAAGGAAGGTTTCTGGAGGTGAAGGGAGAAGAGAAACAGTTTAACTATTGAGTTCCTTGGAAATGTTAATAAAATAAAGTGATCCCTGTTGTATAGCTAAAAACAGACACCTACCTGGGAAGGATAATATGCTTAGAATCCCATACAAGTTCTTACTAATACTGAGTGAGTCCCCTAAGTACTGCATTGACTTAAGGCATCTCTTGTCAACAACTTCTTCGTTATTCGCACATGGAGGTAGCACCCCAGTCTGGGTGCAGTGTTTTGAAGAAGCCGGTCTGAGCTTTTTATCTCCTTGCGTACAGTGAAGGCTTGGGGGAGGAGGGTGGGATCTTCCATGCCTATGTCACTTCTGCACCTTCGAACCAGCAAACTTTCTAGCTTCATAGTAGAAAAGGATGTTGATACACTGGTGAAGCATTGCAGAGGGTCAGAAACTTACTTGCGAGTTATGTCTGCATTGTTAAGCAATGTCTTTCAGAGGAATATACAGGGCAATGCTTATTTGCTGGAAACAAGTATTTTTATCCAAATTTTCTATGATTTTTTAAGATTAACTGTTATGTATGATAAAAATGAAACTGCTTGAGGTATCCCACCATTTTAATTCATGAACCTAGCTAATAATTTTCCTCCTTCTGCGTAGTCAAAGGATCAACCAGATTATGCATCGTATTCCCGAATGTCTTCATCCCCCACCCACAGCCTATATGTCTTTGTGCGGAATTTTGTTTGCCGAATTGGAGAGGACGCAGAACTCTTTATGTCGCTATATGATCCACAGAAATCAACAATTATAAGGTAAGCTTGCCTTTTTTTTAATTGCAAAAAAGTAGCAAAAGGAGCTAGCCAAAATGAAGTAAAATAGTTCCCAACATGCCAGTAATGCAGAGTATATATTAAATAAAAGGAAGAAAACCAGAAGGAAAGGGAAGCCTGGACAGATCTAGTTGTTGGCAGCTACTACAGAAATCTAGGGTAAGGGATCACAAATATTTTGATGGGTAATTCCTGGACTGAACATTTCAGAATTTTGGAGAAGCCTGAGACCACTTCAAAATTAAGAGATTATTCTTGATGGGGAATGTTGTTGTGTCTGAAGTGAAGTGCTGAAATGGAGGGAAGGGGACAAAATGGGAACAACTTAGAAATTAAAAAATAGATTAAGATTCTGTTGAGTCTTCCCATTAGACTACGATGATGGTAATGTTTCCTCAAAAAAAGGTGTCATTCTGTCTTATGTTCAAATTGTTTTTCAGAACTTACTGATGGTATTTTGTATAGCATTCTTCTTGTCTTTTTAGTCTGCTATTAGATTTGAACAATCACCGCAGACTGTTGTCTGTTATGCAACCTTTGTTAGTACTGTGGTTTTTAATGTACTGTGAAAGGGAAGAATTTTTAAATCACATGACAATAAGATATTTATGTTCAAAACAGTGAGAACTACTTGGTGCGATGGGGGAGTAGAGGCTTTCCAAAGGAAATTGATATGCTCAACAATCTTAAAGTAGTGTTCACAGTAAGTGTTTTCCAGTTTACCTTACTTAATATTTACAGATCAGATTCCCTTTTCTGTGGTCACTATCAGAACTTCTGAAGATTGAGCAAGTTAAAGAAGGAAGCAGAAGTAATCTTTGAAACAGAGCAAGATGACCAGTTATGGAGTGCTTTAAGGCAGTGACAATGCTTCAGCATCCTTTCTTCAAATCAATTTGCTGCCTCACAAATTTACTGATAACTTGATTTTTTTTTTTTAAATCTGCTGCACTTCTTGCTACTATTTTCTCTATTTATCTTACATTTTCTTAAAACTGTCAGGTTTTTCATCCCTTCTGTGGGCTGTGTTTGGGTTTTTTGTTTGGTTTTGTTTGTTTTTCCCCCGTTGATTACTGAAGCTCAATTTATTACTGGAAGTCCTGTTTAAATTTCACAACTTGGTTCTTCCCTAAGTAATATTTAATTTCTTTTTTGTTTGTACCTTAGGATCTTGGAAATAAAGACCTTAGCAGAGACAAAATTTATTTAGTTTGTCAAATAGTCCGAGTTGGAAGGATGGATCTCAAAGACAGTAACTCAAAGAAGTACACGCAAGGACTAAGGCGACCTTTTGGAGTGGCAGGTAACTGATGTCTCCTGTGCTATATCTGAAGCAGGACCCAAGTGATACTTACCAACCCTGGACTGTAGAATCTCTACCAAGACATCTCAGAATACAAAATAGCTACATCAACTATATTCCTTATTTAATTTTTTAAGTCCATAAAGACAGCACCTACATTAGCATTTTAGTTCAGGTCAGAAATGTGCTTTCGATCTTAATTTCCCAGTAATTCATACTTAGTGCTACACACTGCAAACCAAAGCTCAGTACCAGAGTATAAAATAGAATTCCTTGCAGAGGAAATAAAACCAATAATTATATCCCAAGAGCACCACCAGTGCACTCATACCTGTATTTGCAGGATTAGACCAAAACTCGTCTGAAGTAATTCTCCCTTTACACAATGTCATATTTGCTGTGTGGACTTTGCACTAAAATGTTCTGCCCCACAAATCTATTGGGCTACATAGCTTGCTAGTGCAAAATCTGTATTTACCCTGAGGCACAAGAACATTCATGTACATCGTTCATAGATAAGAGGAGCTATTTTGCAATGCTATTATATGTTTTGATGATTTTTCTTTTACTCTTCTAGTCATGGATATTACAGATATCATAAAAGGAAAAGCTGAAAGTGATGAAGAAAAGCAGCATTTCATTCCCTTTCACCCGTAAGATAATCATAGATATCTTTTCTTTATAGACACAAAAATATTTCTGTATCTCTTTGGCTGTAACAATCTGAAATAGTTTTTCCTTTTAATAATTTTGTGCTGTAATAGTGCTAATTATTGAAGTATCGCTTTAAAAGGCATTTAAAACTTGACAGGGGCTACATAGCATGTTGAATGAACATATATTTCTATGAATGTGCTCCTTCAGACAGCTAGTACCATGTCCTCTGTAACAAAATTGAAGTTAGTTATACATGCTTAACAGTAAGCTTCACAAGTACGGATAATTACTAATTTACATGCTTGAGTCTGTTTTGAATTTGAGGAAAAAAATGAGTAAGAATTGGGTTTCAGTTAAAAAGTAGTTGAATTGTCATACATTAACTATCTTCAAAAGACATGCCAGACCAGCTGCCTAAAATGTGATTCTCCCAGATCAAATCCAGAGACGCCAGTATTCACTGGAAACATAGTTGTGCATTCTACATAGCACTGCTGCTATGTACTATGGAGAATAAATTTAATTCTGAAAGACCCAAGTATGACACGCTGTTTTATTATTTCACTTGTTTACAATTTCATCCAGTGTGTTTGCTGTGTGAGAATTTGTTTCTAATTTAAAATGTAGCTGAAAAAAATTCAAAGTTTGTTCGTTTGTCAGGCTGTCTGTCAGGGAAGGTGGACTGGACTGGCATGACGGTGAATGCATTCATGTTGTGCATTTCTACAAAATGACATCATATTGTCAGTCTGCCACAAAATGCCATTCCTACGGTTGTTGATTGGATCTTTATCACTTCAGTATACGTATAAGCCTAATGTGAGTGGTCCGCAACTTGGAGTGAGAGAGAATGAAATTACAGAACATATCATAATAAGGTCAAGTACTGCAAAGAGGACTGAGGCTGTTGGTCATGTATGTTCTGAATAGTGTTTGATATATTTAGCACTTAATTCCTGGTAGACATTGTTGTTTCTCCTGCAGGGTAGTGGCAGAGAATGACTTTTTACATAGTCTTCTAAGCAAAGTCACTGCATCAAAAGGAGACAGTGGTGGACAAGGTAAAGGAGTTTGTGTTTTGTTTTGTTTTGTTTTTTCAAGTAACAAGGTATTTTTATGGCACTCGATTTTATGTTGTTTACGTTTTAGAGGGAGGCTGTAGCACCACCATAGCAGTGGGTCAACTTTGAAGCTGGAAGTGAAGAATCATGACTTTGTTGCAGAGTCTTAGCGGCTACTTAAATTAGTAGCTACAGTTTTGCATTATAGAGCTTTTACTGTCAACTAAAGGAACTGGGGGAAGTGAATTCTTACGAGTCTTTTGGTGGGTAAAAGAAGCAATCATCTGAAGACAGAATTCTTTTTTTCTAATCATAAATGTAATTTTTTTTTCCCTCTCTTAATAGGTCTCTGGGTGACTGTGAAAATGCTTGTTGGAGATGTGATTCAAACTAGAAAGGACTATCCACATCTTGTAGACAGAACCACAGTTGTTGCTAGAAAGCTAGGATTTCCTGAAATAATTATGCCAGGTAGGAGGTGCTTTGTTCTGTAATAGGAATGGATTTTTTTCCCATTCCCTAGGTTAGTGAGCATCAGCTGCAGCCTTATTTACTCTACTTCTGTAATGGGTAACTCAGAGGCTCTTTAGAATTCACTCTTCATGGTAAGTTTTGTTCCAATATTAGATGCTTATATAAAATAGTGAAATCCTTGGAAAGTATTTTCTAGTACTTAAACAGAAAAGATAAAATCAAGACAGTGAGGGATAATCCCAGCTCCTTGTATATAGATTTCTTGTCTTCTAAGTAGATTACGGTGGATGCTTACTTGAATTTTAAATTAACCTTTTTTTATATTAACTCATCACTGTCCTTTAATAAACATATGAGTTTACAATCTCTGGAATTTTCAGATTTTTGATGTTTTCCAGTTAAAGTCACTCACTGTCTGCAGTGCTCCTCTTTTAAAAACAAAACCAAACAACACCTCCCCCCGAACCTCTGCACGTCAAATCTCGATACTTTTAAAAGTAATTTGTTCACAGGAGAAAATTAAATATGAAGCTCCGTCTAGAGAGCTGTGTGTTTGGGGAAAATTCAGTAATGGCATCATCCGTGACTTCACCAGCAGGTGTCAGGGCAGGACGAGAATTGTTTCAACTCTGAGGATTCCCATTTAGTTCGTTTCGCATCACATAGTAGTATCTTAGCTAAGAATAACAGAGCTGAAAATTTAAATTCAGACGGTAAATAATACACTTTTTGTCTGTTTCACTGCAGAAGGAGGTAACCTTGTGAAGTTCGGTTGAAACTATGCTCTCACAGCTTTTTCATTGACTTTTACCCTGTCAATTTCTTTTTTAGGAGATATAAGAAATGACATTTACATTACATTGCTGTATGGAGATTTTGATAAATACAATAAAACAACTCAGAGAAATGTGGAAGTGATAATGTGTGTCTGTGATGAAGAAGGAAAAGTGATGCCAGTAAGTTCTTTTTTTTTTCCTATGATGGACATAGAAACACTTGCATTTTAGAAGTAAGCCTTAAACTTCTTATAAATTTTTATAAAATACCATTGTACAAAAACTTGCAGTTCCCTCACTTGTGTCATCTTGTGACTGATAAGTTTCATAATGTTTAAAGTGACATATCTATTGAAGTTCTATAAATGTCTTGCATAAAACTGTAATGAGAAATAACATTGAGTGACCTATTTTAGCTGTGCCAAGGAACAAATGCTGTTTCTGACAATTACTGTGTGCTTACTCTAGGGTTTTTCTTCTGGAAATTCCCAGAGGAATGCAATTTGCACATTAAAATGTTAGAAGTACTATTTCTGTTACATAACAAACCCTTGATTTGTGCCATGAAGACTGTGTCATTGTCCCTTAAATGAAGCACGTGGCAAATAACGGAATTAGTAACAAAAGAGGATTGTGGACACTGTACATATGCAACATAAATATTTACAGTGTCTTTTTGCTTGTCTTTGTTTTGAGGAATTTTTGTCTCTTCCTTAGGGCTTTTTAACACCAGGTCAGTATTCAGGGGGACTACTGGCCTTTCCTTTTCTGAGCCTTATACTGTTCACTAAATCAGTACTGTGATCATGAGGGTGAAATCATAATGACGCTTCCTGAGATAAAACAAAGAGGGAGTAACTCATTGTGGTCCATGACTTGCTGAAATGTATTTATGAACTACAATGAAATGCTTGACCTAAAATGTAACTTTAAAACTTGAATGAAGAAAGTCCTAAACCCATGTAATGCTTAGGGTGCACACAACAAATTGTAACCCTGATGATAAAACACTACCTATACCTATGAAAACACCTAACCATGTGACTTGCATGTACTAAAGTTAACTCTGTTGTGAAATCAGCTTCAGCAACCTCTATCTTGTCTATTCACAGATAATGCTTAAAATACATATACCAAAGTATTCCTTAAAGAAATTAACCTTTTGCAATGCATTAAATCTGGCATTCCAATATCATGCATGTTCAGTTCTGCAGATGCATCCTTTCTCCAAATACTAGGAGAAAGTGGATTTGTCACTTTGTCTGTAATCCAAAATATATGTTCAAATCATGCCTGCTTTCTGTGGGTAATATGCCTTAGACATGTTTAAGCAACAATTTTGAGGAGTTAAGTGACATGATGCTGAAACCAAGTAATGACAAAAGTAACTGGGTTTCCCTTTTAGCCTCCAAAAAAATAAATTAATACTGATAAACTTTCCAACCCATGAATTCATATTAATTTCAACGTTTCTAATTATCCATGAATCAAAACAGATACACGTTCACTAAACAGGGAACCAGTTGGCTCTGTTTAGGTATCAAACTAGTTTCAGTTGAAGAGCTAGCATTAGATTTAATGTCGCAAGCAAAAGGCTTTCTGCTCCAAGTGATGTCACAGAACACATTCAAACAAGTTGGCACTTAAACACTGAAAAACCTCCATTCAGGCAGATAAGCCATACCTTTCTGCAGTTAAATCACTGTGACCAGACCTTACAAATCATCTTCAGCTATCAGTATCACACTCTTCTTGTCACAAGGCATACTGGCCTTTGAAGCAGACTTCTAAGATTTACT